TTGCAATTTGTGAATTTATCAATCATTATAGACGAACAAAAATAGTTCACATAGGTAAGAAATAAATTCACCACCTATGACAACTATCCATCCTGTGGTTCAAAATACAATTGCAATTTGTAAATATCCATCATAAGTTGAGTAAAATAATCCAAAAAGAATTTGAAATTCTTTTTTTATTTCTAGTTTCTAGAATATTTCTATTTCTTCTTTCTATTCTAAAATAGAATATCTTTTTCGTTCTATTTCGAAATATTTAATAATTTGAAATATAGAATATAGAATTAAAAAAGATATTTATAAAATAATGAAAATTAGAATAATAAAGAATAAAGAACTTTGTTGTTTAACTTAATTCAAGTTTGAATTTGAATGGAATAAAATTGGAAAAATTGGGACCCCCTTCTTATTTATTGTATGTAATTTGTTCTATTTTTTTTATTTAGAACAAAAAATGAGTTACCTTAAGAGGCCCTTTCACTTTTTTATCATTAGATTTAGTCGTGGAGTCCATTCTTTTACTATACTACAACAGAAGAAAAAGGATATGAGATCCCTCAAACTCGGGTTCCGCAGTTTTTTTGTCTTTCCATATTTTATTTTAAAAAAACTCTATCAACCACGAAAGAGTCTTTTTTCTGCCATCAAATAGAGAGTATCTATTACTGCTATTTTTGTTACTTTTTACTAGATAACTAACCAATTCAACTCCTTCTTAAAAAAGGGGGGGTAACAACAAAAAAACATCTTCGACAAGCACTATTTCCGTATTTGGCATCTAAGTGAATTGGATAAAAAAAAAATAGGAGAATCTTTCTCTATGTCAGGAATTATCAAAAACAAATACAAGTCAGTCCGTCGGAGTCACAATTTAATTGATCTTCGATTTGTAGTCCGAAACTAATCATGTGGAGAACCTTCATCTTATACTATAAAGATCTATTAGACTCTTAAACTTTTCGAAATTTTGTACTGAGTACTGAGTACATTGCATTGATACAACCAACAAGCAAGTTAGAAAGAATCTAGTACTTCATCTCAGCACGAATCTTTTTATTTCATTGCTGTCTCCGAAGAAGGATAGCTATACTGATTCGGTATACTCAAAAGACACCCTAGGTACAATATTGACGATCTAACTAGGATGATTCTCAGTAAATTTCTACTTACTGCTGTCATCTTTTATGGAATCGATCCCCCTTTGATTGTACAAGAATATGTGGAGCTCAACATGTCTGGAAGCACCGGAGAACGTTCTTTTGCTGATATTATTACCAGTATTCGATACTGGATTATTCATAGCATTACTATACCCTCCCTATCCATTGCGGGTTGGTTATTTGTCAGCACGGGTTTAGCTTACGATGTTTTTGGAAGCCCTCGGCCAAACGAGTATTTTACGGAGAATCGACAAGGAATTCCATTAATAACTGGCCGTTTTGATCCTTTGGACCAACTTGATGAATTTAGTAGATCTTTTTAGGAGGCTCCAATGACCATAGATAGGACCTATCCAATTTTTACAGTACGATGGTTGGCTGTTCACGGACTAGCAGTACCTAGTGTTTCTTTTTTGGGATCAATATCAGCAATGCATTCATCCAACAATAAACCTAATCCGAATTATAGAGCTACGACATAATCAAAGCCAAATGAACAAAATGTGGAATTGAATCGTACCAGTCTCTACTGGGGGTTACTCATTTTTGTACTTGCTGTTTTATTTTCCAATTATTTCTTCAATTAATAGAAGAAAGGGAATAAATGCGTATACGTATTTGGAATTCTCTTATCCCATTCGGAAGTATAAAATTTCATAATTATCTATGACTGTTTATGTCGCTAGCATGG